AAAAGAATGCATAAAACAAATCTTTATATACATCCGCCTCCGGTAATGTCTTTTCTGCGCAAGTACCACATCAGCTTTAGCTTCGTTTAAAAACGAGTACCAAACTGCTATTCGTGTTCGAGTTCCCTTGACGACCATTAGGGTCGCAGTTAAGTGATGATGATCGGTTCCATTGTGACCAGTTAGGGGTGGCAAAGTGGTTATCAGACCTAAGCAGACGCCTCACGAAAGAGACGACCGAAAACTACCCGTCTTCAATAGAATTCAATATACAGAATTCTGAATCGAAAAATAGCGGATTTTTATTTCCACCCCACTTTTGAAGGAGTGAATCTCGCTGATTTGAGCAACGGAACAGTCAAACATCACATGTTCCTCTTACTTCGCCTTTGTCACGATTTCCTTTCAGTTGAGGTGGCTGCGCGAACGGCACACGAAGCCACAATGGGTAACCACGGACAATGTTGTTCTGCGGGTACTCGAATCTTTGTCCAAAGTCCGATCTACGACAAAATGGTTCAAAGGCTGAAGGAACTGGCTGAAGCTCGCAAAGTCGGTGATCCATTTGCCGAGGACACTGTGCAAGGTCCTCAGGTATGTCGCTTTTATAGCTCCGGATCAATCTATTCAGAGATATGTTTGCTAACGCGCCTTCAACGCTTCTAGGAAAATTATGTACTATGAATACTTGATTGATCTAAATTATTTAGTCGCTGAATCACGGGCATCGTCTGTGTATTGTGATTCGCTGGTTAGTCAATCGGATCGACGAGGTAACATGTATGATCCAGTCAGCATGACAAACTCCTTGACGCAGTGGAAACCGTTAATCATATCTAACCATGCGAAACGACCCTTTTCACCGGATCGTGTGTTAGCAACCTTTACCACATGCGTTTGGTGACCCCAAATGGAAATAGTGATCTAGGTTATTTTGTCAACCGGAACGGTCGGGGCGACCCAATCTCCATTTATGGATCAACGAACGAGACATCTCGAAAAACGGAAAGAATTCGGTAGTCTCTTGACGTGACTGAACGATTCACGCATTCCGATTGCATGCCAGACATACATTACTTGTGTGAACGTCAACTGAAGAACCAAGGACAGATGAATGTGTGAGATATCAGACTAAAAAGTATACATCTTTTTTTCTCTTCCTTATAAATCTCACGAGTTTCGCTCTTGCAACGACAAACTGGCTATAATTCGCTGGGAGAGAATGCAAGCATTGACTACACAATCTTAATCTCATCAATCCACATAATATTATTTGGCGTAGCCCACAGACAGCACACTAATTATGGTTGTGCATATGAATAACAACGGAGCGTGTGTAGATGGTGCATATATCGATCGAGCATGACCGACTGGTGTTTTATTGCACCCCCCAAAACGTAGCTCTCAAAGTAATGGCTCACGTATCGCTTTAGTCGATCGAAAACAATCACTGAGGTCAACGGAACAACCGTCTCCTTCGCACATCAGCAGGACGTTAAGAAATCCATGCTGCATGGCAGCCATCTGGGCTTGAACAGTATGTGAAACGATATCCGGACATCTTGATTTGATATTCGGACAAATTGGACTGTGAAAGGTATGGTGCACTTCCTGGGCAATTCAGCCTTTTATTCATGAAAAGGGGAGAACATCACATCTTCGAAGCCTATCTAAGCTATTGAGAATAGGGAAAAATACTTTGAACTAAGTGGTGGTGGTGGTGGTGGTGGTGGCGGTGGTAACTTTAGGTTCCATATTCGCGAGCGATGAGTGAAGGATGACGATTCCGAAAGGAAGTAGGCACCGAACACATATGCCAGATGTTTGTACGACTTCCTCCTCTTTGCTATTCCGAATAATTGCCCGGCACCGAAATCCCGTGACATATATAAATTCATGCCAAAAAAGTGTGTATCATATCGGTATAGGAAACCTTCTCATTAGCCCGCCAACAGCCCGTTCAAATGTTTTGAAGCTCAGTGATGAGGCAAACTTATGCAAATGAAAGAGTATTCAGCACCGTCCACAAATGGAGGTCTAGTGTTTTGGCTGAACGGCAGAAATACAATAAGATTATGCACTATCGTAATTTAATTAAATAAGAACAATAATTTTCAGGTTGCATGTGAGTAATGGGGGATTTGATTCAGTTTCATAGAAGGAATTCGTCGTGTATTGAGCGATTGAAGCGTGAACTGAAAAGCAACAGTGCGAATGAAAAAGGGTCTGGTCAGCTTCGGTGTTCAAGTGGATAGCCTGTTTGCGTTCTGCCTGGGATGCCGAGGGTTCAATCCCCAGTTTGGTCGATGGATTTGCACTGAACCAGGTCGAAACAGCTGTACAGCGCTTCTTAGCTTTTCAGTTCGCACTTCATTTACTCTATACGCAAAGAATTCCTTCTATGAACTCTTCAGGTCGTTTGCAATAAATATTGCTTACCATGCACCAGGGGATGCGGTTTAAGCATTTCACATTAACCCGTCACACTAGCTACAACAAATGAAATCCGTCAAGCACAAGTTCGAATTTTTACCAAGCCCAATACAGCAATGGAACAAAACGAAGGCACTGCAGAACTTCATGACCCTAGGTTTAGGCGTTCGTGTGAACTGCAGACTTACGGGGCTTTACTTAAAGTATTTCAATATACTCCCCACTCTCGATCTGAATCCTCGAAGTTGTTACTTATGTGGAGCAGAGGATATTTTATAGAGAACAATTTAGATTCGAGTGAGTGAAATGAGAAATGAACATGAGCGCATCAATTAAATCGACAAATCGTGAACAGACGTATCAGTTAATTTGTACCGTGTCTCACACAAACCTCCCACAAGACACATCAAACCCCAATGCGGATAACAACTGACCTGTCCACGCACTTGTTTGTATCTCAGCGCTAAATCCAACAACCGTTTACTCCTTTAAATGAAATCCATTGCATCAATCACATCGAATTCGGTGTGTGTGTGTGGGGGGGGGTTCGCATGAATCACATTTACTTACAAATAACTGCCTCCAATTTCTATCAGGTGGACGAGGTACACTTCAAACGAGTGATGTCATACATTGAGTCAGGCAAAAAAGAAGGCGCGCGTCTGGTTACCGGGGGTGCCCGTGTCGGCCACAAGGGTTACTTTATCCAACCAACGGTGTTCGCTGATGTGACTGATGAGATGACCATTGCCAAGGAAGAGATCTTTGGTCCAGTTCAATCGATCTTACGGTTTGATACATTTGAAGAGGTAGTTGAGCGTGCGAATGCTACAATATATGGGTCCTCTGGTGGTGTGTTTACCTCGGACATGGACAAAGCAATGCGTCTGGCTCAGGCGATTGAGGCGGGTACCTTCTGGTACGTCCATCCATGGAGTTCAATATCTAGTATCCGGTACATGGCTGTTTTTCTAGCTTATTGATTTTATCGTACGACTGACCGCGTTCAGAACGAAACGAAAGTTAAACTATTCTTTTTGCCATCGGTCGATTGAATGCCGCAAAAAACTTGTCTAGCGAGCTTTTCATTGGTTGAAGTTTTCGTTACTTATTGGAGCCTTCATTCACCATTGGATACTTTCGTTTTTATTTTTTTTAAGTATTAACTCGTACAAATGTGCCGCCGTTCAAGTACCGTTCGGTGGTTACAAGATGTCCGGGATAGGAAATGAACTGTAAGTTTCTTTTAACTTTTCAGTGTTATGTCCCATGTAAATGATTCAGTTTTGATTGTTTAGTCTAATGTTTTGAATTCTCTATAAACGACCCATGGATTACAGTCAAAACAATTTGTCCGTCCTTCCCTATGGTGACGGTGATGGGAGGGGGTATCATCAGCTACATCGTCTTGAGTCACTCAACCCATCCAATTCCACTCTAGGGAGCAAATTAGAGTATCAGTTTTCCGGTCAGTATGTGCACTAATCAGCCGTGTATTGCATTACGGTTTTTGATTGCTTTCCTTAATCACCTGAGCTGAGAGTTGAGTAACTTATAGTTTAAGATATATATATATGTATATATATATATATATATCAGAGAAACGTGTTTCAAAAGAATTGTTTGGATTTTGCATAAGCTTCACCGATTACTCACGAATTAAGCAGACCCTCAGTTCCCAACTCTCTCAATGAGTTGCGCGCAGTTACAGTGATTTAATCTCTACGAATTGATCAACTGACTGGAAAAAACATCCCGACTCGGGTCATGTTGTGCACAGGAATTGGAAAAGTGAGGGGTTTTCAGGTGGAATATCCTATGACAATAGCAAGGCTNAAGGCTTTCAGAAGAACAATATCCAATAATCAGATTTGTTTGTGGTAAAGCTCACTGTTTTCTGATAGATGTTTTCCTGCTACCTTATTGTTTGTTACCTCCCTCTTGTTCTCGTGTTTCAAGTGGTGAGGCAGGCGTGGAATCCTATTTACAAACCAAGGTTGTCACAATGCCAATCTCGCAGAAGAATTCCTGATTGGATCGTGTGTTTTATGAATCAATGTTTTTCTGGATTCGCTGATTCGAAATAAAATGATTTTCCTTTAATTATTTTATTTTCTCCCACATATCGGATAATATTTATTCAGATTGGCACCTTTTCACTTCCCAGTTAAGTGACACCAAAAACCCTGGGGATAAATTTAATTATCTCCTTAAGCTGTCGAGGCAAAGCTAAGCTTTGCAAAGTGGATGTGTAAAGTGGGAGGATTGCAAGGTATGGAACAGAAAACTGCTCTTGTACACAGCACAGAAAATAAGCAACTAATATGAGGTGATCTTGACAGCCGAGAAGATAGAGATGATTCCATAAGTTGCATGGATCTGTGAGACGGGGAGGAATGTTCCCGTTTCGGAACGGAGATGCTGTGACCGTTAAGGAAGCTATCAGTCCTGGACACATTTTCTACAGTTCGGGTGGTGAACCTATGTGCCAGGAAAGGTCGAAAGTTTTTTCTATACGTCTAGTGACACTGAATGAGATTCTCCGCTGCTATCTAGTAGTTCTGATCATGCATCAGAAAGAAACTGCAAAATATCTGCGGTAACAAAAACTATACTGGTGGTTACTAAGCCCATTTTCACCTCCATGTGATGGTAGAGTGGATCAGGTCCATATGATTCTATTGGAAGAAGTGCAAAGCCAGCTCAAACAGTAATTTATGCACCTCGTCGTGATAGAATTTCCAATGTGATTTACAAATTGCGATGGAGCGAGAAAGCGCTTTGTCAAAAGACGAAGAAGAAAAACGAAGTGATAGGGTTCATGTGATCGACTGAAAGGCGAGCAATGGTGGATATGCAGTTAACTAAGACGCAAACTAAACAGGGAATAACATAATGTACTATTTGATTAGCTGGACAGGGGGAATTTTGAATTGATAAGCAGTACGGGAATCACCGATGGTGGTAATAGTTTCCTTGTGTGAATAGTATTCAGCATTAGGCAAAAATGTTTCATGAGCTGGTTACATGCATCGAAACGCTCGCGAACAATGAAATCAACAAGATCATTTAAGGGGCAGTACAACTGAGTTTATGGATGAACAATTTAGGAAAGCAGACAAAAGCAGTCACATTTTTATTTTTCAAAACCCTACAAAATGCTGGGGTGTGATACATGCAATAATACATTCACATATGAAGCATTGGGCAACAACAGGTTTTCCAGGTCTCTAAGTATAAGAGGACAACTTGCGGACTTTTATAAAGACCGTTCCAGCATACATGAACCATAAAAGATTGTGAGATAAAATAATACCTAAATATTTTACAAATGGCTTTAGAGATAATTAAGCCACAACCAACTAGAGGTGGAGGATTGTGAAAAACACAGGTAACTATAAAGGACTAGATTTAAGATTGAAAAGCATACAACGCAATTTAGCAATGTATTATATTATATTATATTGCAATCATTTGTGCAGGTGGCTGTGCCTACATTTCCGTTAAAAAAAGTGTTCACCGTTACAATGGAATAAAAATGAAAATTTATATAAAACAATGATAAATCCTAAACAGAAGTTCAACTTTGTAGGCCTAAAATTAGTTTGTTTTGAATCTTTCTTTATCTTGCCAGTTAGAATACGAGCCAGATAGGGAACCGTTGAGTTGCGATAAATGTTTATGCCGGAGGGTAAGCATCGAAAATTGGATCGGGTTGTCGCATGGGAACGGTAAGTAGATAGATCGGAGTCGAGCGGATAACTGGGGTTGTTGATTATCTTAGGGACGAAATTCTCATATGAATTAATACAAAATCACACAAATTTTTATTAGAGTTTTTAGTGGAAGAAGAGAAACACGGTTGGTAATAACCAAATCGCGACGAAGACTAATAAAATCCTTTCTAAGTAGTCGAGGGAAAACAACGGGCGAAAAATAAAGTATGAAAAATACACTGATAAACAAAAGAACACAGTTGCATGTCTCACTCGAAATTATCATAGCTTGCGTATTTGGAAGGATAAGCGACGCAGTCTACCAGCACAGGCTAGCATATGACATGACCACTGCAGATTGCCATCTATGGTGACTCCTATGTATTTGGTGATATGTGCTCTGGTGATTTCTTACGGGATTGATGACTGAGGGTTCCAAGGGATATTCGAATCGGGAAAGACTAAAAATGCAGTTGAAGCATTTAGAAGCATTCAACTGAAGACCGGATTGGTTTGGGAAAAACTGTACTTGTAATAAACTGTCGAAAAATGATTCTATGTCAGATTGGTTGGAAATGGTTTGACATAAGATCACATCATCAGCACATGCAAAGGTCTTGGCTGGAGGGCTAAAGGGTAAGTCACTGATGAAAGTTGAAAATAAGTATGGAGAAAAAAGGCACCCTGAAGAATTCCGGAATTATTCACTAACGGTTTTGAAATAGTACCGTTTGCTTTCCATCACGACAATAAATTAGTGGAGCAACCGAATAACTGTAACTTTCGGCTGAGAAGAGATTGTGGAACGGAATCAGAAGCGGAAGAATAATCAAGAAAAACACAACGAACGGATTTTTTAGGAATCAGCTAAATATTTGCAACTAAAGGGGATCAGTGACGAAAAAGCATTCAAAGTGCAACTATTTGGCTTATACGCAAACTGCAGGGGTCATTGGGAACAATAATAACAGACTTCAACGTCGAACGCCAGGGAGCAGGATGTAGACCAGTTACAAAAGTTTGCCACCGATTCTTTGACAGAATCAACTGAAGAAGGATTGGCGTGCGGGGCCGTGTCTCGTTATCGCCGAATATTATTTCGTAAAGTTACAGTGAAGGAACGCGTGGTCATCACTTTTGAATTAACTCGTTATATTCTCAAGTTCAAATGTTGTCCTACAATACCACATTTTTTCGAAAACCTTGCAGTTTATCGCGCAGAAACATCAATTTCTGACTTTTGCCCATTCCGTGAGAAATCGCTTCAAACGACTGCAAAAATCTGTTCAAGGACATTGTAAAAACACCGTGCTGGCTGGCGTGTGGTGCTTAGGCGGCGTTCTGTTGATAATTTGACCGTTCTGTCTATTATTTCATGTAATATTCGTTCGCTCATGGGAAGACTCGATGATGTCAAGAGCATAATGCACCAGAAGGAATGCAAGAATGTAGGGACAATTTTACTCTAGGAAAGTTGGCAATATCGTGATATTGAGGACAAAGTTGTGCATCTTGATGGATTTGACATATTCCGAGGCGATCGTAATGCAAACTTCCTCCACATAGGTGGCGGAGTGGTCACGTTCGTCAACAGGAAATGATTCAAAAACGCTCATAAATGTTTTCAGTTTATTTCTCCCAAGATTAGCTGTATTTCTGTTTATTGTAAGCCCCGATTTCATCACATTGCGTAAGCATGTCCAACTTGACGGGATTTTTGGAAATCTTTTTTATTCAGAAGCGGGCTCCCATAGGTTGCTCCGATCATTGCTTTATTTTTTTGCACCATAAAATTTACGGTAAATATTTTCATGATCAAATGAACCGTTCTACATCTAGAATCATCAGAAGGAGAAGTCGCACTCCTGTTAACTTATCCAAACTTAGAGTCATGGTTTCATTTACCGATTTCACTGTCTTTTCCAATATTGATAACTCTTCCAGTTGTGAGCATCTTACATCGTATCTTAATTTTTGCTATGATCTGTGTTTCCCAGTTAAGACTTTATATATTCGAATTGACAGACTCTCTTCGCCTCTTCTAAAATGGCTTCGTCGTGATAAAGAAAAGACTTACAGGACTGGAAGGCGCAGTGCCGTCAAACATCTATCATTATTCATCAAAATGGAAATAGAGCGCCTAAATGGGACATATATTGAAACTCTTATGGGAAACCAGAACTGTCGTGATATGTGATCTGCTTTGAAGCAGCTCTGTGGATTGCGTAACAGCTTTTCTCCGGATGTTGAGGAGTTAAACCGTCAATTCGCAAATGCCACTGTACGGAACTCAACACCATCTATTATTCACATCTACTGGGGAGAGCGAGTCTGTCACCCCTGTGGAAGTCCCGAATGTACAGAAGTCCCTTAAATCTTACAAGGCACATGGCCGTAGTTTATTGTCCCCTTCCTACTGAAAGAGTGGGCTGAACAACTTGCTTCACCTATTTACGAGTTGTTCAATTTGTGAATCGTCTGGAAGCATCCCCAAATATCGACCGATTGCTAGCACATCAGCATTATCAAAAATTTGGAAAGAGTCCTTCTTAATCGGCTGACCCTTTATCTGTCACCTATGACCCTATTCAGTTTGCCTACAAACATTCGCTTTCCACTTTTGATGCTGTTGCTCACGTTGTTCACTCCGTTTCATCCTTATTGGATGAAGGGGCTGGCATCATCCGTTTACCTTTCCTTGATTATGCTAATGCTTTCGGATCACTTGACCGTAGCAGTCTCATTCCACGTCTTTCGGATTGTGGTCTGGCACCTCTATTAATGAATGTACTAGTTAATTACTTGACTCATCGGACGCAATACACTTTTTGTAACGGTAAGTTTTCCTCCCTGCGAGAATTAAACTCTGGAGTTTTTCAGGGTGCAATTTTGTCTTTTGTTTCTTTTTTCACTGTATATAAAAGATCTTCCCATCCCTCCCAACTTTATCACCTGCAAGTATGCTGATGACGTGGTGGTCGGCTGTCCTTCAACTGTTCCTGATTGTTTCTGTCCACTTCAAATTTGTCTCAATAACATTTTTAGTTGGTCGACTCCCCGATCTTTAATGCTAAATGTAGATAAATGTGTGGATGTTTCTTTTAGCCTTAAAACAGGTATNGTATGCCTTATCAAACCCTTTTGAATAATCAGCCTGAACTTTCTGTTAATAGTAATACCTTCCCCAAAGCTAACTTAGTGAAATATCTTGTAGTTACTTTGTCACACAATCTTTCTTGGTCCAAACATGTGGAAAATATTTATCTTAAGGTTTTTAGGCTATCCTTCTACTCTTTTAGGCTTAAAAAGTGTTCCC